TTATCATGAAAATGTCTCGAAAACGTGTGTCGCATCGCAGACACACTCGCAGACGGCTCTCGCCAATGACGCGCGGCGCGGCGCGACGGCTTGCCCGACGAAGAGAGAGAGAGAGAAAGAAAGAGGGAAAGAGCGGCCGAGACGAGAAGGGGAGCCCCTCGCTCGCCAGGAACAGGGGGGCTACCACACGAGACACGAAAATTGGCATAAATGAGATTGATACGACTTTAAGTTACTCCACGTGAGAGGCTCGCCGCTCGTCGAGATTCTGGTCCCGCCACTCGTCACGCCACTTTGCGCGCGGCTCGCCTCCTCGTGAAGAAAAGCGCTCCGAACGACGCTCTCGACCCGAGGCGTCCAACCAGATACGCCCCTGCCGTTGACCGGCGTGTCGTTCGTTTCAATAACGATCTGCAGGAACCCGTTCTGCGGAAAGTGACGTTGAGAAAGAAAGAGAGAAGAACCCGCCAGGTAGCCTTACAGTGGCGAAGCTGTATTAGCGTCGACCTATTTTGGGCCGTACCTCGATGGCTCCGATGAATCGAGAGTGAGCTTTTCTCTTTATTCTCCCGAGGCGTTGATGGTGAATGCGCTTTGCGACAGGTGGCATTTATATGTTCTTATGTACGTATATATATCTCTCTTACCGAGCACAACGTCGCTGGAGGAATCTTGAAAAGTGCCGTAATCGATATGTATCAGTTGATCTCATAGACTCGGTCCCGTCATATGTTTGCACGCATGTTAATCTTATTAAAATCGAGTCACTTTTATAAAATATATGTTGGAAAAAATTATTTTTTAAACTTTGTTAGGAAATTTCGCTTTTAATGAAATTTTTTATGGGGTGTCGGCATTACTAGCATTTTCAGTATAAATATACATACGTAACGTATCGACCAGAAAAATTATTATGCTAATAAACTCGATAATTCTGAAAAATAATAAATGAGCAAACATTTTGCAATAGTTTAACTCTCGTATATAACTTATAATTAAAAAATAGTTAGTGTCCGGATCAATTGACATTCTCATTTTATACACGACTCACTATAGCTTTTTAACGATTTCAACGTCACGATTTCAATCGATTGCCAAAACGCAGCTATCCCGAAGATGCTCCCACGGATGGCGAAGGAATACCGTGTACGAGGGTGACCGCGCGGAATCTGGGAGCGGCGGTGTGTAGAACAAGTAATAAAATAATTTTAACGACCGGCTTGAATTATGCGCGTGGTACAAATAATAATATCTGCCCGGCACGCATCCCCGCAATAAATATCGAAGGGGTCCCCGGTTCTCGTCCCCCTCCTCCTCCCTCCTCCCTCCGTTGACGATCCAGGAACCCTCGAGCATACCCTCTTCACGGTGCACCTCGGCGAGGTTCATACTCGGCTATGTGGAGCAGAGGGCCCCCGATCGTACCCGAGGGGGGACCTTGCGAAAAGGGGCCTGACCTCGTCGCAGTGATTCTCCGCTCTCCGGTGCCAGCGATCGTCGTTGCGTCTCGGAGACGATAACGTGGGAATGTCGATGTAACCGCAGCCATTCTACGGCCGGTTCAACGAGATACGCATCTTTTCCTTGTTTCAACAAGATACACGCTATCGAAGGCATATTTCCCAAGCAATAATGATTTTTATCGGCGATGTCCGTTGCCGTATAACTTATGGTTAATTTTAATGACGATGTATTTCTACCGTTCTCTCCCAGTGATTTGAAGAATATATAAACACATAATGAATATTAACGGAGATTATTACCTTTTCGTGGGCGTAATCGCGTTAAGTGAAACGTTGGGGTCCGTGAAAATTTATTGCAAGGTTTCAGGAGTGATACACATTGCGTGTATCCAGGATTCGCGTAATCGGGATCGTGCCGGGCACGTATTGAAATTCCAGGCGCGTTGGATGACGTTCGCGTACGCGGAACGAATCTCCTCGAGGTTTCTTGAATGCACCGGGGAGAACCGTGTCGCGCAGCGTGGACGTCGTGTTGCCGGCAGGTGACAGACGTAGCACGAATTAAGTGTCGTAAGATGGTGGGCCGCGTATACGAAGGGTGCCATTGTCATTTCCCGCCGCGCGCACCGAATTTCGACGTGGATTCCGAAGCGTGTCGATGGATCGATCGTCGCAATAATACCGGACATTTCCAAACGACTCGACTATTGTGACGTTGGTCCGCGACCCTTCGTAAAAATAGAGCGTCGCATCAAAACAAACATAAAAGCAATTCCGTCATACTTTCGCCGATATGAATCGTCACTTTAGCGAAACGCACGAGCCACGTCAATCGTATCATACAAATTTTTTTTTCCATGAGATTTCTGTAAGGTGCAAAATCGTAATTTGCATTGTGAAAATAAGAAACCTCTCAATTTCTCGATATAACGATTAAATATAATAATTCGATTCATGCGAGTTTCTAATGGAAAAAGAGTCAAATAGCCAAGCATCCTCGAAGACGCGGAGTTCGACGAATATTTAAATTGGCCGACGGGATATTGCATCGCGCGGCTGCGAAGGCTATCCGGTTGCAGTGCAGATTTTGCAATGCAAGAAAGAAAAAAGCGTTTCGATGTCGGGAACCAGAAAAGAGAGGCGGAAGAGACGAGGGAGACGCGGGGAGGGAGGGGGAGGAGGAGATGGGGTACGGCAAGAGAGAGATTATGTCGTCAAAACGGACGTGCGGCGTAGACCGGCGGTTGTGCCCATTGGCCGTTGACAGCGCAATGAGATCCTGATTTGCGCGAATGTATTTAATCGTACGCGAAGGCGCGCGAGAGAGTTGCGGGCTTGCACGAGCGAGCGAGCGAGCGAGCGAGCAGTTGCGCGCATCGTTTAGCAATCAGGGAGAATGATGCAGCCAGAACGGGCCGGTCGACCGGGCCGGTGCAGCGAGATGCCGTAGCTACGCGCAATCAGTATGCCCGTGCAATTTATTTGTACACCTGTGCCCGCCGCGGTCCTGCGGGACGCGAGAGAGACCGATCCGGGATCCGGGCTTTCACGCATGATTACGCAGTCACGAAGGAACGAGAACTTAATGTTACGCCCGCGTAGAAACTGGCATAAATCGTATCTCTTAAATCAATTTCTTGAACGGAGAAAATCGGATTTTTCTAAAATTTTGCTTTTTTTTTTAAATGGGAATTAATTCAATGTTTGCTATTAATAAAATTAGTCAAATTAGATTTGATCAAAAGGTATTGAAATAATAAGTACATTATGTATACCTTTATTTTTACGAGTCTTTTTCTAAGTATATAATTTGGTTTTAATACTAAACTGTGGGTATTTTATACTTAGCAAATAATGGATGCATTCCGTTTCACGCATAATGCGTATAATGCATCATTTATTCTTGTTGTTCACCGAGTGTTAAACAAGGATAAATGATGCATTATGCGCATCATGCGTGAAACAGAATGCACCCAATAACTTATATTGATACTGGAGGTTTTCGCACCTTTCCTTAAAGTGACACAAATTCTCGAAAAAATTGTTGAAAGGAACAGAAAAAATGCGATCATGAATGTGAGTTCATTGTTAAAAAATTGGATAGGGATAATAATGCGACAATAGCATGGTTAACTTCTGGTTTTAGCGTTTTTTCCTTGATACTTAATATAATAGAGGATTTCAAACCTTATCCTCAACAAAAGATGGATCCCTTACCTACTTCGCACTTCAACAGTAAGCTTATGTATGTTTTCGATAGATATTGTATGTTCTCCTTTGTTGAATATATGTTTCTAGCCTAACGGCTTGCCACGTTATACATTCCACACTCATACATTCCATAATTAGATCTGATGATCTATCAAATTATTGAATCATTAGGCTTGTTTTCGTAAATCAAATGAGGGAATAATGGGCTAATAATATAATACGAGCAAAATTCAAGAGTGTGATGTTATATTAAAAATAAATTCATAAATGAATTGAATAAACGATAAACGTTTCGACTTTACTTAGTTTTCCCGACATGCGAAAGACTTTTAAAAACGACTCAAATTAAAGCTTGGACACTGTACTTTAATATGAGAATGTTCAATCTTTTACCGCAGGTATCACCGACCTCGTGCTTTGTTTTTAAAGGTCGATGTACGCTGCGGTAAAAAATGTGTTACATGTTCAAGCAATTTGAGCAATTTAAATGTCTGTCGTATATCGGATTCGTTACGGATCTTCAAAGATAGTTAGAAACACATTTTTGGGAACCTTTAATCCCATTTTTTTTTTTGTAAACCTGAGAACATGTGTGATAGGAATTTTTGCTTGCAGATTCGGACAGCAGAAAAGAAAAGGCAAATGTTGCAGATCTGTGTCATTATTTGTATTTTTGTGAACCTTTCGTAAAACCTGTTGTTTGTTGAGACACTGAAATTTCGTCCATGGATGTGCGATTGGATGATAAGATTCGTAGTATGCGATTAAAGATTACCGGAAGGAATTTGGATTGATAATTTTGATTTTGATTTTTTTTTCAATTTGCGCTGATAATGTGACTTTGTATCTGTATCTGCTGACATTGCGATTATATACGTGAACGATAATAGATACCTTTTGACTTATTTTGCTACATATTATTTTATCAATAAATAAGATTATTTTTATCATAAATTTTTTATCTGAATTGGAAGTAACAAAGCAGCGAGTGTGTATGTGTGTGTGATTTGTCGTATGATGGGGATTACATTGACATAGAAGTTGCAAGAAAACGATCATACATATTATCAGATTTATTAAAATATCTTAGCAAACTAATCTACTCGTACAAATATAATAATAATAATAGTTTTAGTGAAGCAATTTGCTCTTCGTATTTGTCACTATTTTCAGCTTAAGATCTTCCGAAATCGATGATCATTCATGCACAAATGTCTCCATGATTTTTACATTTGAGTATTTGTACATTTTTCGAGCGAAGGGTGGCCAGCGAGGGAGGATCGCATTTCTATCCTTATTGAAGAAAAATCTCCGTGGAAAGGACAATGGGCCTTCTTTTTATATTTGTATCTGTAAGATAACTCGCAACCACACTTGTGACACCATCTATTTTTGAAAATTAACCTCGAATAGTTTGCCAAGTTTTTTGTTGCTTTTATTTGTTCCTCGGTAGCAGGCAACCAGCTTCGTTTGGTGGTAGACACGTTTTTGTTCTGGGGCTAAAGTGTAGACCACCACTGCAGTCTGTGACGTACCAATCAGGAGTATAACACGTATAATACTGTCCGCAGTGACATTCGCTAGCTTTTCTATCGCCGTTTGTGCAGGATGGAGGTGTTGGTGGAGTTGATTGCGTTGTAGGTGGCGGCTGTGTAGGCACTGGACCTGAACATCTTCCACCATCCCTGTTCGGAACGCATTCCTGACATGTGCGGCTGAAGCACGTACCGGGGTAACAAGTACGCAAGTGCCCTACACCATTTATGCAGTCATAGTACTGATAGCAATTGTTGGGTCCGCTTATTTTAGACCAGCCCGGTAATGTTCCATTTCGGTATCTTTGGGGACAACTGGCGCAACCGGCCTGCCATGGCCAATCGCAGACTTGCAGGAGTCTATTGTAGTGCAGTCTCGATATTGGATCTCCTTCGGTCATTAAGGGGCATCTTTGCAAGACAGGTTGACCCACAGAGCACTTATAAAACAGCGTGCAATCGGTTTCGTGTGGAAGGTTGGTCGTGGTGTTATGTTCATTTCGCTCTGGGTATGGACATATTTTGGGAATGTTCGCGTAGGTGTCTTCCTTCGGATCAGCTGGCTCAGATTCGATGTCCGCGGCGTTCACGGCCCAAGATGCCAGGAAGGCGATGGCGATTACGTATATTCCTATGCCGAGCAAAAATCACATCATTAAAATGTTAATCGCGATACGATCGAATCGTGATCTAGCCGGCTTTTATTACAACCGACTAGGTGTCAATTATTTGTATAAATTTGGATTACTAAAAGTTTCTAGCACACAGCGTATAAATATCGTTTTACTTTAATCGACGGTTCTATTATAGAAGTTTTTCAACACTCACCCTTCATCGCCTATCCTTTATTCAACCCGAACTTAAGAAACGTATCGCTCGTCCTGTTAACACCTCTTCGATTCGTTTAAATATGTGACTGGCCGAATTTAGGCGGATCGGCTTTTATAAATATGCATCACGTTATCGCGAGGTACAAGGACAGATTGTATCTATCGAAGATATACTTTCCTCGCCGAAAGAAGATTATTGGCCATATTTCGCAGAAAAATTGTTACGCCAAAGTACATTTGCTTTAGGTCACGAATAATGAACAATCTTTATGCAATTATAGCATCGATTGTGAATCGATAGTTTACAAACTATGACGTAAAAATTGAAATTAAAAACTAAACTTTATATCATACTGTGCTTATCGTTTAATTTGATTTCAATCAAGCATGACTTATATTTATTATTGATAAAAGATATATAATAAGTTAATAAGACATTCCATAATTAAATCTGATGATTTATCAAATTATTGAATCATTAAGCTTGTTTTCGTAAATCAAATGAGGGAATAATGGGCTAATAATATAATACGAGCAAAATTCAAGAGTGTGATGTTACATTAAAAATAAATTCATAATTGAATTGGATAAACGATAAACGTTTCGACTTTACTTAGTTTTCCCGACATGCGAAAGTCTTTTAAAAACGACTTAAATTAAAGCTTGGACACTGTACTTTAATATGAGAATGTTAAATCTTTTATCGCAGGTATCACCGAACCTCATGCTTTGTTTTTAAAGGTCGATGTACGCTGCGGTAAAAGATGTGTTGCATGATGTTCAAGCAATTTGAGCAATTTAAATGTCTGTCGTATATCGGATTCGTTACGGATCTTCAAAAATAGTTAGACATTTTTGGGAACCTTTAATCCTATTTTCTTTCGTAAACCTGAGAACGTGTGATAGGAATTTTTGCTTGTGGATTCGGACAGCAGAAAAAAAGGCAAAGGTTGCAGATCTGTGTCATTATTTGTATTTTTGTCAACCTTTCGTAAAACCTGTTGTGTGTTGAGACACTGATACCGGATACTCTAGTACACGCTTTTTTATTCGTACTTTTGACACATTTCTTTGGACATTTCATTGTTTGATCTCGTGTTTTGTGTGTGTGTATGTATTTTCAAGTTATTATTTTTAAGTTTTAATTTATTTCAAACAAATGTTATTTATTATTAGTTACAATTGTGGAAAACTTTATGGTAGACTAATTCCGTTATGATTAATCATTAATTTATTATTTTGGTACTGAGAAAGACTAAATAAAGTCGAAACGTTTACCGTTTATCCAATTTATTTATGAATAAAATTTATTTTTAATATAACATATCTTGAAGTTTGTAGCTTGGTGGCCCATTTCCTCATTAGCTCTAATCTAGATTCACATTCCTCCACCTAATAATATAAATATTATATTTTAAACTTTTATAATTAATACATTAGAAAATAAAATTTGATATATAACTTGTGGCAACTAAATAATAATTGCCACTATTAAGATTGTTACTTAAATACTAATTTAAAAAAATGTAAAATATTGACATGGAAAGGTAAATAATTACTCATTGTCAGTATCAGGAAATTAAATTGATAGTAAGTTTGCTACATAGTATATGAAGTAAAAATATTTGCCTCTTATATAAACGCACTTTTTTGTTTTTTTCTTTAAATAGTCTCAACAACTTTTTAAGACGTCTAAAGTTCAAAATTCGGTCGAGAACGTATAACTATTAAATAATTATTCCATTAGTTTCCAAGATTTATTTTTATCTTTGAAGGTTGTCGTATCAGATTTCTTGTTTTCTATAATATTTTTATATCGGAATATTAACTCTATTAATGTTTTCTGCATTCATTCATTTTTAACTTAATAATTTTTGACAGGTTTTTCGATATTACGTATTTCCCTCACACGACACGAAAATGTTAAAGCCAATATTGATCAACGTTCTAGCTTTAGTAAGTTTGTTGAGTTATGACACACAAGTTATAAGTTTAGCTAAATGTTCACAATGTATTGTAAAAACCAATCAGCATTAAATCGAAGTTTAATTTTAACAGTTTGCTACATCGCAGATTAAGGCGAAGGTGGTAGAAACGGGCATAAGAATTAATTCTGTAACAATTCGGTTACTTCGCATCTAATCTTGGCTATATTTCACTCAAAATCGTTTCCTCGGCACTCGAGTGCATTCTCCTAAATTTATTGGCCTGACAGCTAAGAAAAACTTATCACTTTTACTTTACCTTTGTCTTTCACTTTCTTTTTTATGGCAGAGGAATGAATTTACTGCATTTCCTTTTTACAGGGCAATAAAATCAATTATCCTTTGTTCTTCTCGTAAAATATGACCACCGTTACTATCCTCTTGCTCACGCGTAACGTGTAAACAATTTAGAAAAGTACCCACTGCCAAAGTAATAAATTTAACAGTGCCATATTTAACTTTTCACGTCCTGGCCACGGTTTACAAGAACTTTTCACATCTTTCGACGACCATAAGTACCCACTGTCAAAGTAATAAATTTTACAGTATGCCATTTTTTTTAACTTTTCACGTACTGACCACGTACTAACCACGGTTTACAAGAACTTTTCACATGTTGTGTTTCGACGATATGCGAAGCAATTTGTTTGACTAGTATGATAATTATTATATCACATTGATCAAATTACTTTCAAAATATTGACTTACTGAATTTGCTAAACTATTCATTCACAATTTTACTGGAAACAACAGTTAAATATTTTTAAATAATTTTCGTAAAAATCATTCTTCTAAATTGATTTTATCAATGTTAACGTTCTAACTCTCTTATGGCATGTAGTTACATAATTATGATAATAACTAGCAAGTGCTAGTGATACATTTCTTTATTACAGATTCTCTGTTGTTAAAAAAAGAGATACGTTAATGGTTTCTTGATGAAGAAAGAGATCTATAATGGCCACTTGGTAAAACCAACGGCTGTAAATTTCTATTCCAGTGGTTGGTTGCTCGTCTACGGCTCGGACGAGCGAGAGATTATTTGGATTCCGAAGAATGGCAACAATCGAGCTTTGTAATCGGTCCTCGAAACGATAAAGACTTTGTTGGCTACCCTTCCGGCGCCACCACCGTTCTCTCCCCGTCGCAACCACCCCCTGATTTTCGCTCGATCTCGCCCCTCCCCCCCTCCATCCTTCCTCCTTTCTCTTCGTCTCGCATACACACACAATCTCCCTTTCTCTCGTTACTCGAGCTCTAAGAGCTGGCCCAATGCTATCACCTGTTGACAATCGGACGCCTACGAATTCGCCCGCGTATCGCGCGATCGTGTTCTCCCCCTCTTAGTATCCTCTTCTTTCTTCACTTTGACACGGAGTTTGACGGCGTTCCAAGTTCGGTGAATTGAGGAGAAGATTATTTTGTTGCAAAAGCGGCCAGCGAGATGTTGAAATGAGCAATATTTAATAAGCAATCATTTTCTAGAAATAATGACATAAACAGTTACAATACATGTAATCAATGTAATCAATGTTACATACATGTAATTTACACAGTGTTTAAATAGATTATTTGAAAATTGGAATCGACTTCGTTCTATATTCTTGCGATTTGAGAAAAAGAAAAGATTCCGCAAAGTAAAGAGAAAGTCAAGAGACCTTCTCTTGACCTTCGGATGAAGGCCAAAACGTGCACCACGTGCGCAGGTAAAAGAAAGAATTTTAATGACTTATACGACTCTGCTATTAAAACATTTTTCATCCTAAACCTAAACCATTAGACCAATACGTCTTTCTGTTTTACGGTCATCACGTTTGACAACAGGTTGATATTAATGATTAAACTAAAGAGTTAACTTTTTTTTACAATAAAGAATCAATTATCTGCAACAAAGAAATTTATCAGCACTTTCGCATGCTATTTATCATTTCAATTATGTAAATATGCCCTAAGGAGAATTATCGTCGATATCGATAAAATCAATTGTTCGCGAAGCGAATTATGACGAAAATTATTTAAAAATATTCAGCTAAGAAAATATTTCTATTGAAATTGTGTGCAAGTAATTTACTTCTCGTCCGCCAGATTTAGGCAGGCCGGTTGCCTCGCCTAATGGATATAGTAACGAGAAAGGATTTTGCTTTCGCGCTGCGAAAAGACGCGCGTTTCGCGCGTCGCAAAAATCGATGTGCGTCGCGAGAGGAACGTAGTCCGCGATACCTAACGAAAGGTCTCGGTTCCCGAACGTCGGTGGGACGATGAATGAGCGCGAGCGCGGCACGAGACGGACGGCCGGCCCGTTCGTATACGGGGTAGAAGGAGATCGATCAGGGAGGGCCGTTCAGGATTCTGGTTTTCGAGTGCGTCTATGCCGGGACGTACAATGAGCTTTCTCATGTCGCACGGTGGATGCGCCGCATCGGCGGATGCACACATTCGCGCACATACACGCGACCTCGATATAGCGCGTGCGCGCGCGCGCGCACTCGATAGGACAGATAGCTCTGTGTATATGTGTGCGTGCGGCACACGTTCTGCGGGAAACGTGTATGTATACGCGGGAAGCCTAGGAAAGCCCGGTGCTACAAAGGCAGTGCGCCATCGAGTATCGCAAACATTGATTTGAATCACAAAGACCGCCCGCGGTATCCCATTGTCGGACTCCGACTTATTGTACGCGTTCTCTCTCTCTCTCTCTTTCTCTATTTCTCCTTTACCTCCAACTTTCTACGTGTATCGCGCGATCCGCTCTATCTTCTTTCAATGGTAACGACCTATCAATCCACTTATTCCGCACGGTTTATGTGCCACTTGTGGCATTTCGGCCTAATGCCGCTGTTGCACGGGCAAATCACCGGCGTTCTCGCAGATTTTTCTGGATGCACAAAATTTATCAAACACCGCTCTAATTTGTTATATAGCTTATTATGCTGTCAATATATATGACGAAGTTTGCTGTTTACAATGACACTGATTTAAGCCAATCTTATTTTATCTTATGAATGAGGGAATAAAGTAACATTTATTAAAAAATGAAATCTCTGAAAACTCTGAGGAAATTAAAGTGATGCATTTAATGCATTTCCGAAGTACAAAGATAGTACAATAAAGTTATGGAAAAATAACGTAAGGTCGTTTTTTTATGACTTACGCCTGCCAATTGCATTATAAAAATAAATTTTGTACTTCCGAGAAGGACACAGATTAACGTCGAACGGAAGTAATTTTGTTTTCCCTTAAAACCTAATTCCCTGTTTCTGTTCATTCATTGAAAGCAGGTAGCAGCTACCTGCTACCTAATGCCGCCGGGCGACCCATAAATCGTAAAATAAAATTTATAAATTTAAAAAGTTCTCTTTCGCTCGCAAGGAAAAGGCTTCGATTAATCATAAGATTTATTTAATTTTTGGTAAATACACAAATTTCTAAATATAGCAAGCAAAATGTTTGTTTAATTTAATTAGCATTTTTTTGCATAGATTCAATTAAAATAAAATTTCTTTCAAATGTTTATAGCGGCGAATACGCTGACTTGCTTATAATTAATATAGTTTATGCGTCAATTCATTATTAATTGCTTTTGAGCACGATTATGTGATAGATATAATATAAGCCATTTGGGCTAAAATAATCAAATTTTTAGAAATACTACACAGACATTTAGATACATTTTGTGTTTGGAAAAAATTTATCAAACTGTTTATTCCTGTTACTATTTTGATCGAATGTCGTTGTGATAAAAGCTTATCGAGATATCGCGGATGTGAGTGACTTATAATCGCGATCAATGCAAGCTGCAATTGCACTGAAGACCGTCGTTCTCAAGGACGAATTGCGAAATAATAACGTCATCGCAATCACGTTGATCGCGCATCAGGATCGAGAGTACTCCAGATTACTTGGAAAATTAACGTAACTGCAGTAATCAGAAACGCAGATAAACAATCATTCGATAAGGATGCAATTACGATAATCATGTGATTTTGAAATGAGGGAAAGCACGTTACACACTTGAAAGAGAACATGATTTCGAACACGTTTGTACGCGCAGCATCGGAGAGATCTTCACGATGCCTCTTTTACTGATACGATCAGACACAAATATAGCTCTATGCGTTTATCTGTACCACGCATACTTCCGCCGACTCGTCTCGCATCTCTTCTCCTTTTCGTCGCGTCTCGCGGCAACAGGTCCCACAACACGCAGCATGCTGAAATGAAGACGCGACGTCCAATGAAAGCACTACGGTAACGATTTCAGTCAGCCGCTTAGATTCTAGCGTCCGACGGGTGAGAGCGGGAAGGAGGAAGAGCGGGATTCTTATTACGAACTCCAAATCTCTCTCTCTCTCTCTCTCTCTCCTTCTTCTTCTTCTTCTTCTTCTTCTTGAATATATCGAGTGGTAATAAAGCGCAATGAAATAAAGTTCGAAATTGACGTTGGATTCGATGGAGGAATTATTATATTACGGCAAGAGAGTAAGAAAAGCGGAGAGAAAAAGCGAATTCTCGAAACTTGCAACGAAAAAAAAAACCATTTTGCTATGATAAGATAGATACAATATGTGACGTTGGGTGACTTGCACATGTGACTCGCAGATGCGATGTGAATTGCATCATGTGATGCGCAGAAAATGTACCCATATCCCATTTCAGTCTATTTTCTAAGATTGTGAGAGGTTCTTTTATAAGACTTCAATCGACGTTTGCCCAGAAAGGGGTTGAATGTCATTCAACTCCTAATCCTTGTTCAGATAATACATATGTCATCGCACTGCCTGCTCTCACTTTATTTTGACCGCAGCGGTACAAGAGATTCGCGATTATATCTTATCTCTCTATTTCCATTAAGTTCTTAAGTTTTCTCATCGCGAGCTGCGCACTAACGCACGTGTTCGACTTATTCGTGCATTAATATCGATGTATATACGTAATGTATCACGCAACTCCGGCTCGCGTCCAAAGGAACATATTAAGGCTCGCGGGACGCACGTATATGTAACCCGGCGCTGCTCAACGCTGCGGACGGCGGCCGCGTAGCGGTACATGCGTCCGACGGGCAGCCGATTTCGCGGCGCGAAAAAGCAAGAGAAACGTTGTGCAGAGACCGGAGCGCGAGAGGGAACAGATGAGAGGAGAGGAGATGACGATAGCGTTGGGTAGGGGGTGCGAGAAGTGAGGAAGGGGAACGGAGCCGTCGGCAGCCGAAGCATCGCCACGAGAGGTCGGTCATGCTCACCGAGTGACGTCACCGAGTAAAAGCGCCGCCTCCGCGTGCCGAGCGAGCCGGCCGATTGGTCGAGGGAAATCATGGCAGGCTCTCTCAGGCTCTCTTGCCAATCGATTGCCCGCGGTGCGTACGGAGCGCAGTACAGTCAGTCCGATATGATCCCCACTCTATCCCAAGGTAGAGGTCGAGAAGAGGGGACGTTTCGCGTTGGAAGAAGGGGTGGCCGCCTTCGATAGGAACCCCAAACTCAAGGCGATTGAAATGCTCAGAGAGTATTCTCCCGTGGAGAGTGGAAGTTGTATCTCATCTTCTGCGTCGGATTCTTCGTTATCGTCCAGCACGGTGTTGAGGCAGGACGAGCGGGAAAGCAGCGGTACAAGACAAAAGCACCACCGCTTTTAATTGTACACGCTGCGGTTTAAATTCCTCGCACGGTATCGCTGAGGGAAAAGTGCATACGCGAGTGAAAAAAAAATTGATGGATTTTTGAAGACAGAAACGGTGTTCCGTGAACTTGGTCAGCTCCACTGGTTTTCGCGTTTCTCGTGCCACACGCGGCGTTTAGGGGGTGCCGTCATCTCCTTTCAAAGGAGACCGCCGCTCCGGAGCACTCGCGTTTAGTTGGCGCGTCGTTGCTGGCATTGTCGTGACGCGATTCGTCGAGCGTACAGTGGCCCGCAGCCAGTCAGAGCGGCTGGCGAATGGTACGGAGTGGTGAGAGGCTACGAGCGAGGGGAAGAAAGTGCGGTCAGTTCTCGCACGGACTCCGTAACTTACGGATCGCTCGCACGAGAGTCTCTCTGGTGATTTTCAAGGAAGAAGACGAGAAGGACGAATGAACGCACGCATCGTGAAACGACGTGCGGGAGGACCATACCGATAGTATAATGATCGCGAGTGGTGTCCCCCGTATTCACACGTTGGTTGCCTTGTGAACAACACTCGCGATTAGCGCCGCGCCGAAAGGAAGATTTTGCAGCTGGTGATACGAAGATTATCGTAACACGGAATGGTCGTTCGGCTGACACGTTCGCGCGACCGTGTGATGGATTGATCGCACGCCGGTGACCAAGAAACGCGCGCGCGCGCGCGTTTAGCGATCCGTTCTTACGGAGGTGTCTTAGTAGTGATCATCGGTGACTTGCGGAATTCGCGATCGATTTTCATGTCATCGCTTCGCGCGCAGAGGTGAAACGTTAAGAAAGTGAGCGGTGGTGATCGTGGTTCGCGCGACGGGCTATCCTATCGGCAACCGATTGACATTCTCCGCGGCGTGCTCCGTTGAGTTTTCTTGACGTAGAACAGTACTAGAAAAGGGCAGCAAACTGTACGGGCACAGGCAGGAAGAGATGCACACGATGGAGACGGACATGAAGGGCGGCAACCTGCACGCCCAGATGCCACCGCATCCGCACCAGGGTGTATCGCCGATGGGCCATCACACGGGGATGTCACCTTACGGATCTCTAGGATCGATCGTTCACAGCTCCGCGCTATCAGGCAGCCCGCCCAGCGCGGGCAGCTTAGGCCTTGGTCTTCAGCATCATCATCAAACTCCTCAACATCACTACCATACAACAAGCATGCAGGTGGCCGCCGCCGCCGCCGCTGCCGCTCAGCAGCAGCAACAACAGCAACAGACCATGCACGCAATGGCGGCCCAGCAGAGCGCTCAGCAACAGCAGCATCATCCTCATCAGCAGCAACAGCAACAACAATCGCAAACGCAGCACCACCAGGCCAACAATCATAGCAATCCGAATAATCCTAACAATCCTAGCAATTCCTCCAACGCCAAGAATAACAATATGGATCGTGTGAAGAGGCCGATGAATGCCTTCATGGTATGGTCGCGTGGACAACGGCGCAAGATGGCCCAAGAAAATCCGAAGATGCATAATTCCGAGATATCGAAACGCCTCGGGGCCGAGTGGAAGCTTCTTAGCGAGGCGGAGAAGCGCCCGTTCATCGACGAGGCGAAACGGCTGCGCGCCGTGCATATGAAGGAGCACCCCGATTACAAGTATCGGCCGCGTCGCAAGACAAAGACTTTGATAAAGAAAGACAAGTTCCAGTTGGGCGGAGGTGTTGCTGGCGTCGGCGGTATGCTCGGCGTCGATCAACGGCAAGTGGGCACCAGCGGCGGACCGCAGCAGCAATTACCGCGCGATGTATATCAGATACCTCCTACCGGCTACATGCCCAACGGTTATATGATGCATGCGTCGCATGATCCGGCGGCGTATCAGCCACACGTCGCGTACAGCAATCACATGGGTGGTGCCGCAGCGGTCGCCGCTTCGGCGGCCGCGGCCTACCAGAGGTACGATTCCATGGGCCATCACATGGGCGGCAACAGTCCTAGCCCTATCAACAGCTACATGAACGGTTACGGCGGATACGGCGGCACCGTGCCCGGCGGCTCACCGTCACCTTATCACCAGGCTCAACCGGGTTCTCAGATGTCCAGTCATAGTCCTAGTGGCAGCAGCATAAAGTCAGAGCCGACGAGCCCGGCGAGCGGCGGCGGCATACACACGCCGACGCCGACGGGCGCGGCTGGTCCCGCTGGCCAGGTCGTGAAGCGGGAATACATAGGACAGCCGCAGACGAATCAACAGAGCGAAGCACAGATCAAGCAGATGATATCGATGTACCTGCCACAGGGAGTCGAGCAGGGAGTCGTGCAACACGGTGGCGGCGTCTACTCACCGGGTCCGTCGCCTGATTCTTTGCAGCACCATGCGGCTATGCAGCCGATTACACACATGTAAGCTATCATTTAAAAAAGAAAAAAAAAGTAGAAACAGAGGCTTCTCTCGCAATACTCACACCTCACACGCAGCACTCTTTTTTCCTTGCCTACGCTTGCAAATAGCTTTTTAGAATCGTGGAGGCGGGATAAATCGCGACGCTATAGTCGTGACACCTTGCAGTCGATTAAAATATAGAACAAAAGTGGACTATACTTCTTTTGAAATACTTTATTTATATGATAATAGAATAAGAAAATTTAAAGGGAATTAACATATTTATTCGTGTATTTTCTGTTTTAATTAATATTTTTGCCTTTTTTACTACTATTATCTGCACTTTTCTCAATCAAGATCTTAATATATAGAGCTTATCAGTATTAAATGTCTCTATTAGAATATTATATTAAGGATAGATTCCATGCCAAAATATATTCTTACTACAAACTAAGCATAATATTTACGTTCAAACGAAAAAAAATGTTTTGATTTATTGTAAACAGCGAGTTGTGACGACGTCCCCGGCAGACAATTCGAATCAGAACATATGATTTACAAAGCTAATCTTTTAATATCGATGCCGAATACGATAAATGTAACGCGATTTATCCCAATTCGACGATGATTGCACTGTTTGCTTGAGTTATAAATAACGAGAATTATCGGTGATCTTCGCGAGTGTCATTCGCAGATCATCGAAATTCGTGACTCGAGCGTTGTCGGAGTTCGCAGGAGATCCGCATTATAATTCGCATTTTATATATGTATACATATACATATGTATAAAAGATGTTTTATTTTTCTATTTAATCTATAAAATTTAATTTCCTAACTTATTATTCCACATATTATATAAGTTTCCGATTTTACACTAAAATTTGTTGGATTTGCTATTTTACGGTTACTGTTTATTTTGCAAAAGTTTATTTCCTTAAAATAAATTCTTTCATTACTTGGCTTTAAACCGAACTTATAACAAGGACCTCCTGTATTCCGTACATGCAGTATTTCGTGAGTGTCGTATTATGAGTGTTCTGTTCAAGAATTATTTATCTTTTCCATTAAACGAGCATGCTATATAGAAATATTTTTTATCTTTTTTTTTTTTTAACAGGTTCTCATATTTACATATTTTATAACGCAAACACTCACATTTTTCTGTTGCTAGAGAGAATGATTATGCATATGATATTGTGACTTCGCTTCTAATGGACAGTTACGCCCCAGTATTCTAAAATGGTCTACGATTCGCTCATTCTTATTTCTGAAATTTGCCAATCGCTTATTCGCACACGATCATTACCATTTCAAGAGTTAGTAAGGTGGATCTTGCAAGATATCATTGCGCTAGAAAATTATAGACCGGCGAGTTGGCAGCGGAGAAACACGTTGATTTACTTCATATCAAGGTATCCCGTATAAAGAATCTAGCGATTCTACAATCAGTCGTATGTCGGAGTCGGATGTCGGAACGTAGCCGATGGTCCAATGAGGAAAATTCATTTTTGAAATAGAAATTCTCTCATTGGACCACCGTCGGCGTTCCGACATACGACTGATTGTAGAACCGATCTAAGACGAATAAAATTGAATTTATCCATATGACAGATACATAAAAATCCCATATATGCCACATTTAATTTTTCTCAGCTGAAAAGTATTCCTCGAAACGCGATTTAAAAATCCAATTATGAATTATAATAAAATTGATAGAAAATATTGTAATATAATAAAATTGATAAAAAGTATATGTTAAAAGGATATGTTTGATGAGCGTTTGAAGAGGTTTATAAGAGGTTTATGGTGGGTTTATATAATGCAGAGGAATTTATTCAATGTTATATTTGCATTTAATCGAAAGTTAAGACTTTAAACAGATAAATTATAAATTTATTAAACAGAAACATTCTTCGTTTGTCCTCATTTACTCATCATACTCACACACACTTTCCCTAATCAGTTCCACTAAATTCTTTTATTCTCCTCCTTATAGACATGAATTATTATTTCATTAAATTTAATCTTATTTATTAGACAGACAAAATACAGAGTATACTCAAAGTACAAAGATTCCACGATTTTTCGCAAAAACTTCCAAATAGTTATTTTTGAAATCAAGTTATTATTTCCAATTTTACAACCATTATATCATTTTTACCCATCTTATTTATTTTCATTAATTCTTATTGTTAATTTTTATTAATTGCTATTTATTTTTATATCTAAGTTGCGTTATTATTTTAGAGATACATGATAAAAATTTTAAAACTATGTATCGAATTGTTTTTAATACGGTCCAGAACGAAGCAGAGTTCACGATACCATGGCACATGTTTAGTTTGAGGTTTAAATTTACTTTTCTTTGTGAATTTATTTTCTTCTCTTTGTTATTTCTTTTTATTTTTGCCTCTGTTACAAATGATTTTTATAAATGATTGTATTTTAAATTGTGAGAATATAAATATTGAATTTAATTGGAGTTCCGATATAGGTTGAGTCAAAAAACCGTCGAAATTATTATCCAGAAGAATAGTTTTTTTTTTTCGGAGTTTTTTATTTTTGGCACTCACGGCCTTTTTTTACGTTGAGTCTTATATTTCAAGTAATCTCATGACAATCCTACGCAAATTCACACTTGGATAGCATTTCATCACTTTATCACGATCGCCAAATAATCACGAAGGTTTTCGTCTGACTCATCCTATCTCTTCGTCGATGTACGGAGAGCTAGAGTTAGAAATTTAACAAACGTTTTCTCACATCTATGCCGCAACCTAACACAAAACATGACGCCGTAGGAATCTCGTAGCTTAAAGAGAGGCAAGCTTGGATGGACGCCTGTGCAAATGGAAGGCCTATAGAGAGTAACGGAAAAAGTAGGAGAGAAGGAGAGAGGAAAAAAGAAAAGGCCAGAGGTGGAATGCGAAATAAAGAGAAACGCATAACGAGAGCGAGAGCGAGCGTGTGAGGGGAGGGGAGTGGTGGGGGAGGTGGGGCAGGGGGGGAGAAAAAAGACGAAACGTAGCTTCAGGACAATTTTCACGGGGCTACGAGATGAGAGAGAGACGAAGCTTGTCTTTTTTCTTCCTCCTTTCTCGTTCTCGCGCTCGGTACTCGAAAGAGACCGCGCCTTCGCTCGCATTCACATCTCACGAAAGATTCTCTCCATCATCATCGTCCATGCTGCGCATTATCATCGACGGGGCCGTCCCTATTCGGCGTCGATAGGGATATCCACGAAGACATTCGAGCTATAGAGAAGACGTCAATATAATGTATATAATGTTATTTGCAAGTACGCTCTCGCAAAATTGACATTACCAAAGAGGATTTCTATACACGACCGGACGCTGTATATCCATATCAATTCCATTTGGATCCCGTTAGCAGTTTCTCGATTAACTTATCATCAGCTACAGTTTATGTATTTTTTTAATGTTTGTTAAAGATAATAGGTATTATATCCAGATTGCGAGACTCGACTCTCAATTTCTGTCGCAACCTCATGTATCCTAATTTTTTCTGCGTTTTTCCATACTGGTGATATGGAAATATTAATTAAATGTTCACTTAAAAAAAACCGCCGCGACTTTTCGCGTTAAAAGTATGTGATGGAACATATGGGTATACGATAAGTTAAGTTCTTCATTAAATATATTTTTTATTGACGAAAGATAAATTCTGGAAAATAATATTATAAACAAATTTTTTTTTGTAGGGTAAACTCGGGTGAGATGGCCATACAGGAAAGATGGCCAACCTATGTTTTTTCAATTTAGCTTGCCATGAAACATCGAATGAACATGGATTGGCCATCTTTCCTGTATGGCCATCTTACCCGAGTTTACCCTATATACTATTATTTTTTTTTTTTTTTGACGTACATCGTTATTTGACAGTCTGAATAATTTATTTAAAAAATTATTGCAAGATATATGTAAATATATATATTGCAATATAAAAATATAAATCGAAAACGGTCAGTTTTTTAGACGTCGTGTAAATATCGTCGAAACATCCGTCTTATTAAATTTTTCTTATTTTATTAGATGTCTATTCGTTAGCAGCGACAATGCACAGTGTATAAAAAAATATTTAAAACAACTTAAGAACGGAAGAATCGGAAGGAATAGTGCAAATGATGATCGTTCTAATATGTTTACAATCAACTATTGTGAAGAGTACATTTCTGACGAAAACTATTCCTTCATTAGAATTATTCAAAGTATTGAGGGGGCACCCAACTTATCTTGATTCAAGTATTCTTCATTAAACGTGCATTCTGCGTAGACATCTATATAATGTTCGTGTATTATATGTTTAAAACGTATAGAAATTAGGACTAGGTGCAACTGTGTATATATCTGTAAATAGATATGTACATATACGAAATACACATAGAATCCAAAGAGAGTATGTGCATTTTCGTGATACGTAATCGTCATTACCGACAGACTGTAAATGGAATTGATGTTGTCGGGGATGGAACAATGTTTTTCGGATGAAGACGTGTTTACGCTGGGAATCATAACGTTATACATAATGTAATACCAGTGAAGGTATCTATGCGTAAAAAAAAAATACATTTTGTCATTCTTCAATTTTTGAAATAGAGCTTTATTCCGATAAGTTTTTTTTTATAACAAACGCTAAAAAGTTATTAGTGTCATGAAATATAGTTTGTTTAATAGCGCAGAAGAATTTATCGGAATAAGCTTTATTTTCAATACAACCGAACAATAATATATTTTTTTTATATAATCCGTTTTCCGAGCGCTTAAAACAGCAACAGTTTATGATTTTCGCCATTGTAGCGTCTAAATATTAATTTTTATCGTATTATTATGATTATCATATTATGTGCCGTTATTATAACTTTAGTTATTATTATTAGTTGTAAAAGGAATGCGATTTTTTAGTTACTCCTATCATTCTCGCCTACGTTATCATCGATTGTCATCATTACACTGTAAGTAATTCTTCTAACTAAAATAATATCATCGACATCTTCGCGGTT